AATTGTTTCTTTATGCAGCATCTCTCCATTGTCCTGGGCGATGGACTGGCTGAGATGGGTGGAATTTAATCAAGAAAATATTCGGGGACACTTAAAACCCGAGTCAAATATTTGTGGCTGCCGGATGGACTAAGGAAATTCCATCATGTGCTGGATTATTTAGACTCTGCACCGAATGATTGCTCATTAATAAACATAAGCAACAAATTGCTCGACAAAATCAAAAAACCCAAAAACCATTTACGAGCTCAGTGAGCAGGATTCCACAAAAAATAAACAAAAGCCGTTTGCTGCGGTATAATATTTGTAATCAAACGCAGTCGGAGTCATAATAATCAAGTCGTAAAAAACAAATCCATTTTCGCGCTTGAATAAACAGCCAAAACACAGAGAACACTCAGCTCTCAGGACGAAGGACCTCCAGACAGGACCTGCAGTCGTAAGATGGGCAGTAAAAACAATGATAGTAATGGCGGAACATTTTTACACCTTCCACGGCAGCCACAAAAGGGATCAGGGTAAAGCATTTCTGTGGCCATAAAAATAAAAACAACACAAATAGCTCAATGCTTTTGCCCTCGGTTTGCTGGCCAAATTTTTACGATGCCGCCACAGGATGACAACGTGTAAATTTTGCGCTTTATTTAACAGGCCAAATGACAAATCTGAATTTATTTAACGATCGTAAAATCACTCATCAAACGGTGTAAATTGTAATGTAATAGAAAAATAATAACCGTCGTCGATGCAACGAAGATGTTATCATCGTAAAATCCAAGAGCGAGGAGTCGTTAAACCGGAGAGTCGAGAGTCGAGAGTCCTTCAGAGTCTGAAAGGAAAATCCTGGCGTTAGTTTTCACACCCGAACAGTGTCGGCCGGCGGATGCAAAGCTCTGGCATCATTACACTTGAGTGTTTTACAACTTCCGTTGAGTTTCGCCCTGGCCATAAAGTGTAATCTTCATGTTTTTATTAGGCGATGTGGGCTGGTGGGTTGTCAATGGCGCTGAGGACATCAAATTGACAGCTCCTTGGAGTCGTAAAACTCAGCCACTGTCTGGCTGGATGGCAGACTATGGCCGTTTATATACATATGTTTGGGGGTAATGATTGTCACCGGCTAAACAATTAAATCGAGGTTAGGAATGGCGCATAAAAAGCGCATAAAAAGGCCATAAACACAGAAACCCTCGCCATGACAATGATGATAATGATAATGATATCGTCAACGCATCGTAAACATTTTAAGCCAGAGTTTATTTTCATTTGGAAGGGATAACACGAGAGAGCCAAACATGACCCCCATGCGATCTGTGGCCTCGTAAAACGCTGAAAAGCTGATAAGACACTCGCCGCTGGTAATGATAATAAAATTATAAGTTACACCCACATATGCTGGGATCCTTTGGGTCGAGCAGAGTCCCTCTGGATGAGTTTCCTTGTCATCCTTTTCCCGCCGTAAAGTGCGCTAATCAGCATTTAAAATTAACTAAATGCCCGCCTCTTAAGACAAACTTGATGAGTTTGGCCTTTGGCCCGCAGGATATTCTTGGGTCCTTGCGTTCTCTCGGGGCTGTAAAACCTGGTTTATGTTGTTGGGCCGTTAAGTGGATAGGAGATGCGTTTTTCATGTAGCTGCAAATGGCCGAGGCATGTGGCTTCGCATCTCGAGATGGGCCCATAACACTTGAGTGTGTGCAAAGTGACAGTTGATTGCTCCAGTTTCGTTCGTCTGCGAAGTGCTAGGATGCTGAGTTGCTGGATTCGCATTTTAATTAATTGGCAGATGTGTGTGGAGGAAATCGGCAATTAAACTTGAGGAGAAAGATCTTAATTAAATATCTGACAATCGAAAGAAAGCATATTTGTTGTTTTAATTTGTTGTAGTTGTTTTGCTAAATTGTATAATAAATTAAGATTTTTGTTTGCTTAAAAGGATTATATTTATAAACACTCTTCTGAAGATAGGTTCCCAGAAGTAAAGGCTTAAAGTATATTTATTATAAATATATTTATTATTTCCTGTAATTTATAATATATATAATAAAATATAATATTTATTGGAACAATAATTTTCTTTAAAATGTTTTAAAAAAAAAACCTACATTAAGTTTCCTTTACCCTATTCTAGTTCCGCTTTAAGCCCCATTATCATATGGCACTCTCCGGTTTTAATTGGGGCCCACGGTGGAGAGTGCGTGTCATCCAAGCACCGGCACACACAGATACACCCGTGTGCACCCCACAAGGGGAAGCTTACTTCCGCCATTTTCTATGATGAATTGCTACTTTGGCTCAACACACGCACACCAACGGCAGTTCGCCGCAGAGAAGATGCGCAGACAGGAGAAAAGAACAGAGATGAGCTGAGTACAGCCAGGAGCTGAAAAGGAGCAAAGGACGAGGGACGGCCGACAGGACCTCGCATAGATACACATTTATCCAGCTGTCGGCGGCGTTGACAGGAGCGGGGGCGAAAAAAGGAGTGCAGGACTCCGAAAAGGACTCCTGCTTCGACCAGGCAGGTGAGCCCGAACTCACGACTGAGAGCCAAAAAAAGGACACGGAAAGTGCACTTTGGACACGGGACACCCACACATCGGGGTGCTTTTGCCGCTTATTTATGTCTGGCAATCATAAAGCGCGCCGAAAAGAGAGGGCGATATAGTGACGCGAAAGAGAGAGGTGAAGCGAGTGCAGGTTATGGCCTTCTATAACTCAGAACTCTTGGAACTCTGGACCCGGAACTCAGGACTCAGGACCCTGGACTCCCACATAATGCCGCCTCTTTCTGGCCAACGTCTGCGTCCACTTTCGTTGGCTGCTGCTGATGTATTCCATACAAATTGCAGGTTTTAGTGTTTTTATTTTTGCCCTCCAACACGGGGGTGAAATCCAGAATGCTGAATGCCGAGTCCTGCCGATTTCGAGGGTGGGCGGCTGAGTGGGTGAATGGGTGAACGGGCGAGTGGGCAGGCGCATCATCCATCAATGGCATTTGCGGCAAGGACAGCGGCGAATGCTCTCGGTGAGTGCTTCTGACGTTTTTGTGTCGCAGACACAACAACACTCAAAGGGGCGGGGAAGGTCCTGGATCTGGCTGGCATCCCCTTTCATTCTTTTTTTTGGGCAAAGTCATGCGGCGAAATTTGTTCACTTTTCGCTGCAAAACAAAATCAAAATCTCTGCACTTGGGGGAAAAATACGATCTAATGTGCTTGACTTTAAAATGTTTCGTTGGGCAAAAAATACTTTTAAAAAGTTACTTGGAAAGAAACAGGAAATTAAAATTAAAAAAATTATTAAAATATATAAAAAATTAAACAAAAAATTAAAACACATAATTAGTTTTAAATTTTTTATTGATTTCTTTATTTTACATTTTGTAATTAAATTCCAATTAGAAGGTATTCTTAAAGAAATTTGACAGAATTTTAAAAAAACATTTTAGGAACTCCTTTTCTCCACTCCATTACACTCCCTTTTCTGTGTCCTTTCTTCTTCCTTGTATTTCTATTGCCAACTCCACCCATTCTCCGTGCTTCGCTATTTGTAAAATAATAACATAAAATATGGCTGGCCTTGAACAATTTACTTTTATTTTATTTTTATTGCCCAGCCTCCATGGAAACTCCGCTTCAGCATGTGAACCCCTCTCTTTCTTGCTTCCTCTGTGTGTGTTTGTGCCTTTGGGCTTGTGTGTGTGGGTTGTCTGCATTGTTGTTGCGCCTCGCTCTTAGCTTCATTAAATTTATGTTGCAACACCCCACCGCCCCCTTTTACACCAAATATCCTGGGCCTAGTTGCACGTGCCGCGTGGCCGTAAAACAGATCGTAAAAGTTTATTACTTGCGGCTTTTGTTTGTTGCTCTTTGTGTGTGAGTGTGTGTGTTGCTTTCTCTTTTTCCCTGTGTGTGTGTGCCGCTCTCTCCTTCTCCCTATTTCTCTGTGTTTGTGTGTGAACCGCCGTCGCTGTCAGCTGTCAAATTGAATTTGTTTATATTGCCAACAGCTCGCCACTCCAACAGGTTTCATTTTCACTCCCATCCGGAAATCATTGCGTCATGCTGATATTTTGTATTTTAACCTCCCCCCTCCCCCTTCCGCTACCACCACCCCCGCCACGCCCCCTTTTTTACGGCCTGTCATTCTCAGGCTTTGTGTTTAGGCTGCAAAAGTCGATTTTTGTTGGTTTAGGTCAGTTTAGTTAGCTGGCTTTGACAGCTCAAAGTCGAGGTCAACTTTTGTATGCCCATCATCAGCTGTCTCTCTGTGTGAGTGTGTGAGTATGAGTGTCCCTGTATGTGTGACTGGGTCCCTGTCTGCGCTGGCGTGCGTGTATATCCTTACATTGGATATATTTATGGGGCCGCTGGCCGAGACGCGTCCCCTCGCTGCGACGCGTCCTTGTCAGTTGCCAAAAACATAAAAAATCGATTTTATTATAGCCGTCAGTCTGGGCCGTCTATATAGATTTTCTGTCACTGCTGATATTGCCTTTGTCTGGGTGTTGCTGCCTGTGTGTGAGTGAGTGAGTGTTGGTGACAGGCTTAAATTTCAGGCTGACTTCGTTTAGTTGCGGGGTAAGGTTTTAAAGTCACCAAAGGGCCAACAGAGCGTATACTTAATGTATGGGAAAGCGTACAATAAGTGAATATCAACTGGTTTTATAGATTGATGTAGATTAAGTTTTTAATATCTTATTATTTTAAAGATTTTTCATGAATTGTTCTATTATCAAAAACAACCCAAAGCTACCATAAAATATTCAAATTATGACATCAGAAAAAGCTATCTTCCAAGTTTTGTTATCTTTCCAACGAAATAAGCTACCAAAGAGCACGAAACAACTGAGACCAAAACAAAAAGCAGAAAAAACATAAACAAAATTAATCAAATATTCACCCGCTGAGCAAAAGAGCGAACGGAAAGCTTTGCAAAGCTCACTTAACGTAAATTAATCAGAAAAGTTTTCTAATCGAAAGAATTTAGTATGCAATATGTTGTCAAAGCAGTGGAACGCAAATAAACAGATCTCTAGGCAGATCTACCAGCTATACAGAGGTCTGGCCCACAAGGTGAGGTCTAATTAGGGTAAAGATCTATTATAATTAAGAAAAAAATATTATTTACATTTAATAGACCACTTCGGTGAGTTTAGAGGAGGCCAAACCCTATGCTGATATTCCGGGACCAAGCAAATTGCAATTGATACGAGCTTTTCTGCCGGGCGGTAAGTGGAGGAAAAGCTCTCCAGTATTCTCTTTTACTAAATTTGATTTGGAGAACTGATGATCTCTTTGTAAAAACCCTCTCTTTAGGTCGCTATAGGAATTTGCCGGTTCACGAAATGCTTCTCGACATGAACCGTCAATATGGCAGCATCTTTCGGATGCCCAGCGTCGCAGGAACTGATATGGTGCTCACTATGAATCCCGAGGACTATGAAGTTGTCTTCCGAAACGAGGGTCAGTATCCATATAGAAGGAGCTTCGAGGTAATGGACTATTTCAAGAGGGTTCACCGGCGTGAGGTGTTCGATGGCTACGATGGCTTGACCTCGGGGTAAGTAAAATTGATTATAACTATTCCTGATTTTAAAAATTTAAAAATAATTTTCTGCTATAGAAATGGACCGGCCTGGGGAAAAATGCGTACTGCTGTAAATCCAATTCTATTGCAACCTCGGAATGCTAAGCTTTATATGAAGAATTTGCTGCAAGTCAGCGATGAGTTTCTCGAGCGGTAAGTATAACGAAGATTTTAAACTAAGCCTGAGCTCATAATTTTAATATTAGCATTCGAAATATTCGCGATCCTGTAACCCAAGAGATGCCAGATGACTTTGCCGTAGACATTCGTCATTTGGTGATCGAATCAATATGCTCCGTCTCCTTGAACGCCCATCTTGGTTTATTGGGAGAGCAGCGAGATAACAAGGATATTCAGAAGGTGGTCTCAGCTCTGCAGGATGTTGTGGAGCTGGGTTTCCAGCTGGACATGATGCCGGCCTTTTGGAAGTATTTGCCAATGCCCAATTTCAAGAGGCTAATGCGTTCGTTGGATATCATTACGGACTTTTGCTATTTCCACATAGAAAACGCTTTGAAGCGGATTGAAGAGGATGCCAAGGCGGGAAAACTCAACGAGATTGGGTTGGAGAAAAGCCTGCTGGAGAAACTGGCCCGTTTTGATCGGCAAACAGCTGTGATTATAGCCATGGATTTGCTATTTGCCGGGGCGGATCCGGTGAGCTTACCTAAATTTAATCAGTTAAGGAATATTTCAATAAATATTTTATCCTCTCTCAGACCCTTGTATCCCTGGCTGGAATCCTGCTGAGTCTGTCCAAGAGCCCCGACAAACAGGCTCGACTGCTGGAGGAGATCAGGGAAATACTGCCCAACAAGGACTCGCCACTGACCATGGAGAACATGAACAATCTGCCCTATCTGAGGGCCTGCATCAAGGAGGGCATTCGCATGTATCCCATTGGGCCGGGAACCCTTCGCCGAATGCCCCACGATGTAGTGCTCAGTGGCTACAGGGTGATAGCTGGAACGGATGTGGGAAACGCGGCCAATTACCAGATGGCCAACATGGAGCAGTTCGTGCCAAAGGTGCGGGAATTCATTCCAGAGCGATGGTTGCGCGATGAATCCAATGCGAACGCCCATTTGGTGGGCGACACTGCCACGCCCTTCATGTACCTGCCCTTTGGCTTTGGGCCAAGAGCCTGTGCTGGCAAGCGGATCGTGGACATGATGCTGGAGATAGCCATTGCCCGGCTGGTCAGGAACTTTCAGATCGGATTCGACTATCCCATCGAAAATGCCTTTAAGGCCAAGTTCTTTGTGCAGCCAAATATTCCCTTTAAGTTTAAGTTTGTGGAGCGCAGCGATTGATGTCCTTGATTTTTACATTTCATAAGCACACTCAGGAAAAAGACGACACGAAATATATAATCTAATTGTCACCAATATTATAATTGATATTTATTTGCTTGTAATTAAAATAAAGTGTTATTAAATACCTATTTTGAAACCCATTTAATGTAGTTTTAAAGATCTTTACCTTTGTAATTTTGTTTTTCTGAGTGAGCAGCTCTTTAGTGTCTGGCTAAAGACTTTCGAGTGGTTCTGGTTGCATACACATGTCCTGGCCGCTGGAGTGTCCTCTTGAGCTCAGCACAGCAACATCCACTTGAGCCAACATATCTTTATGGCTGTCCCAATATAACTTTGGCATTTGCCGGGCATCTGAAGAGGACACTTGACTGGTGGTGAAAAAAATACTCTGAGTAATTTATATGGAGGGGTGGAATCTCGGAATTTAAGGAAAATACCACGGTAAAGGTATTCCAAACTGAGATTACATCCAAAAAATAAACTTTCCTTTGAAGAAGAATTTTTTGTGGCAGTCCATAAGTATGCAACTCTGTCAAGAATCAAATGTGGCGCCTTCTATACATCGGATCGACTTTCAACGACTTGATCTTGCAGTTTAAGAAGTACGGAATATAAGTTCCTGTTAGTAACTGTTTCCTATAATTTTTCTGTATTATTGGGCTTTAAGCCTTCAAAAGGGGGTAGCAATTTGTATGCTCACTCATCGGTAGCCTTCCCTACACTTCCCCAACCTTTCCATCTCCATCCCCATCGCCATCCCATCAGACTCAGACCATTTCTATTCGTATTCCTCGTCCTTCGTTATCGCTTGTAGTTGGACAAACAAATGCGCCGACATAAATAATGCAAAAGTATTCATTTTGACATCGAATAGACAAAGTTGCATTGAATTTTCATGTTTGTTCCTCTCGTTCTTTTATTTCTTTCAGTTACTTGTGCCGGGTCTTATCTGCCCCCCGTTTCTGTGTACTTTCTGCCTCCGCTGGAAAGTCCTGCTCGTATGTCCTGGATTTTATGCTGCAGACCGGACTCACTCGTTGGCCGTCGTCTTGTGCATTATTAAAACTATTCTGATGGCGCTTCCGAGGATGGGGTCCACTTGAAATGTCAATGCTGGGTCCGCAGCTCCTTGCTCCCTTGCTCCTTGCTCCCGTTTTGCAGTGCATAAAGTTTTATCGTTGCCGGGAAGGTGGAAGTTGGAAAAGGGGGGAGGAAAGAGGGGCATTGGATTCCCAGCCCGCTGTTCTGTCACGTTTCCTGGCCAAGCACTCTTGCAAAACTTGTGCCCGGGACGAAATGCATTTGCAATTGCATAAATGAATAGCAGGAGGGGAATGGCGGAGTGTGTATAAGAAGAGGCTACGGACTACAGACAAAACGAATGGAATTCATTATTGGCCAGGAGATGTGTCCTGCCGAAGGTGGGAGGCAGGAGGGGGCGTGGCCGAGGTGCTGGCCTTTAAATTGAAAATGCATGTCAAGTATCGACTGTACTGTGCACACAAATCACAGTTTCAGCGCGCATTTCGCAATTTTCGTTGTTGGATTTTCGGGGGCGGGGCATTTGCACTTTATGACATGGCACCACCTTCTACACTCTACTTACTACCCCCTACCCATGTTCCCTTCAAAAAACCCCTTTGAAACCCCCTTTCGGTGCCCATAAAGTGAGCAATTAGACAATGTCCCAGCCTATTCAGCCTCCTGCATCCTTCGTCCTGCATCTTGGCAATTGGAATTTCGGCTTTTCGCATTGAACTTTGACTTGCCATCAACATGAGGTTCGGGTACAGTGCACATAGAGAAAATTGCATTCAAATTGTAGAATTACAAAGATTATAGTGCAGTACAACAGTACAGTAAAAAGACTTAAAGAATTATAGAAAATTCCATACAAATGCATATTTTAATACATACCAAGTCTGCAGTTAACCATTATTTTCATTTTTAAAATATGAAAAAATTTGAAAGTTCTTCTTCATAATTTGTATACACTTGGTATTATTCATATTTACATTTAACAATTAATAACGAAGAATTAATTTTGAAATTTTGCTGAAGAGACAGAAAGACATGTTAAAAATTCCTTATAGAATAAATTTGTTAAAATTATTTTTAAGTCTGCAATAAGCCATTAATAAAACTATGTAAAATATGAAAAATATATATGAAAAATGCCATTAAAATTGTAGTTTATTTTATTTTAAGTAAACTGTATACAATTTTCTAAAATTAAAAAAAAGTTTTCCCATACTCTCGAGATAATTGCCTTCCGTAATACTTTACCAAACTTTAAATGCCTTGTACTTTTGTCACGGTGCTCATATTCCGATTACCCCTCGGCCGTCTTGCCACAGATCTTGTCACATGACATGATGGCCGTCCATTGCCGAGCTGCCAATTTGCAACAGCACGGGCGTGGCAAACGGACCACGCCTAATGATGGCATACATAACCTGGCTTCCCCTGAACGCCTCCGACTTGGCCACGGCACACGCCCACGCCAGGTCCTTTTGCCTTGGTCCTCGGTCCTCGGACCTGTTCCTCTTCCAATTTCTATTCCTGGTGCCTGGGCCTGCTCCCTGGTCCTTGGTCCTTGGTCCTGGGCAAGTGTCATGTCACACAACGCACTCGGCTGGCTTGTCAATTTCGCAGCTGGGCGTGGCTGGAAGCCGAGAGCATGACTTGAGCCCCAGTGGCAGGCATTAGCATGTTCCACCGAAGGCAGAGTTTAAAGGCAGGACGCAAAAAAAGTATCAGCATTGCAGTGCAGGACAATCGGCAGGCACACCATCTACCACCCCCAGCCACAATCCCACTCACACCCCAATCTCCACCCACTTTTCACCCCCCGAGTTGGCGACCCGCCCTGACAGGCGTCCATGATTAATGGTTGTCAATGGCATTCCGCTCGGATCGGATCGGTTGGGCTTGACTTGGCCTGCATGCGGAAAGTAATTTTGTTATTTTAAGAAAAGCCCTCGCAGGCTCTAAGGATTCTGTTTTGCAGGAAATTGATTCCCCCCGCGCCTTTTTCCTCCGTTTTTTTCCACACCGCTGCCACAGGAATTCCCCAACAAGTCGCAATTTCGCAACCTTTTGCACCCCGCGAGGTTCGAAGCAGAAAAAAAAGAGAGCAGAATATAAGAATAAATAAAAACAGGGGCTAGATGGTGTTAATGGCATTGGAAATTTGCGTGGGGTGCAGAGCATTTCTAATCGAATTGTATTCCAAATATGCGTTTCATGGGAAATTGAAAAATTGCGCCCCAATTGGGTGGATTTCCTCCAGGCGCAGATAATGCCGCCAGAAATTTGAATTGTTTGCTTTTCAGGGTGCGGGGTCCATAATGTCTATCAGATTGTTTGGCATTAATGATGTCTTGGGCAGGGGATCGAACTTTTGATGAACAGGCACTTAGCGAAAATGAATTAAATGATATCATTGAGTTTTTACTGCCAAAGGGAAAGTACGTCATCAGTAGTTAGGATCAGGGTTTTTTTTAGAATATCGTTTTATAAGTTTAATAAATGGAGTGTTACTTTTTAACGAAAGATAATGGCTCAAAATGTAATAAGTACGCAAGATACCTTTATTGCTATTCAAAATAAAATATTACATATTAATTAAATTTTAAAAATAAATGAAGAACAATTAAAGAATTACTATTGAAATGTTACAATAAACACTTTTGATTAACAGATATTCAAAAGGCGTAACTATAAAGCTCAATATTCTCAGTCCCAAAGGACGATAATATTTTCATATTTCTCTAGAGTTTTCCGTCTTTTAAGGTTAATTGGGAGCTCTTTAATCCGCGCCCCTGAAATCGCCCGCAGGACCCTGCTGCTGCGTATATATTTTTATTAATTTTCCAAATGAATTCCTGACAACGACAAAAAGACAGTGACAACGATGACAACAACAGCGGCAGCAAGAGCAGCAGGAGCAGCCGGAGCGGCAGACAGAAAGCGAGTTATCCTGGCCGCCGAAGGATAACAAAAAAATGGGGGCAGCCATTGTTGGCCAGTGGCAGCCCGCTTCTGTTTCCCCACTTTTTGGACTTTTTCTGCTCTTTTTGGTAACTGTTGGCGACATTATTACGTTACTTACTTTACGCCATAAATGTTGTTACGTCATGGCAACCACCCAAAGGCGCCCACCCACCCACATGTGCGCTAAAAAAGGGCAAAACAATGAAATCAGAAGGAGCAGAAGGATGCGATGGCTGCCATCATTGTTATGTGAATGTGACGACTTTTTGACTTCCGCCACGCTGATGTTTCCGTTTCCTGTTTTATGCACAACTTTTGTCCGCCTTTCGGCTCTCTTCCTTGCGCATCCTTTGTGCGCTTGTTTCTTTATATTTTTTAAATGTTTGCCGCTGATGAAATGTAGCCAAGGATAACTGCCTGACGATTTCACGCCGCGTTGAATCCTCCTCCGCTCCTTTGCGCCAGGATATTCCCCCTCTCCCTCCCAGCGTCCCATGTATATGTATGTGCATCCTCAATTTCCCTTTTATGTTATTTTAATTTTATGTTATTGTTATGACACAATGAAAATAAAATTGAATTGACACTGATGTCCTTGCTTCCTTTGCCGGGTTTGGGGTCCTGATAAGTGCGTATAAGAGAGCTCCCGAAAAAAAAGAAACGAAAAGGGGGGTGCTCGCCGGTTGGCAGTGACGTTTTTATTGCCCGGACACACGAAGTCCAAGTGGCAGGCAGGCAGACAGGATCACAGGATATTCAAATGGGCCATAAGTGCGGTTAAAGCGTTTCGCTCGCTTGACTAAATCTCAATCTCAATGCCAATCCGGCACAGAAACTTTCAATTTTTAACGCTGCCAGCTGGCGACATGACCTCTCTCTCACCCTCCGATGCCCGTAAATCCAACCTCCCCCAATCGCTGACAATATTATTTGTCGCGCAGGTTCAAAACAATATCATAAAGTAATTTATATGCCTGGCAGGACGAAGGACGAAGGCAGTGGGAGTGGCTGTGACTGTGGAGAGCGGAGCAAAAGGGATCGGATCGGAT